AGGTTAGGTTAGGTTAGGTTAGGTTAGGTTAGGTTAGGTTAGGTTAGGTTAGGTTAGGTTAGGTTAGGTTAGGTTAGGTTAGGTTAGGTTAGGTTAGGTTAGGTTAGGTTAGGTTAGGTTAGGTTAGGTTAGGTTAGGTTAGGTTAGGTTGGGTTAGGTTAGGTTAGGTTAGGTTAAGTTAGGTTAGGTTAGGTTAGGTTGGGTAGGGTTGGGTTAGGTTAGGTTAGGTTAAGTTAGGTTAGGTTAGGTTAGGTTAGGTTAGGTTGGGTAGGGTTGGGTTAGGTTAGGTTTTGTAAGGTTGGATTATGTTAGGTTAGGTTAGGTTAGGTTAGGTTGAGTTAGGTTAGGTTAGGTTAGGTTTGGTAAGATTGGATTACGTAAGTAAGGCGTCTGACTTATGTTTTGCAAATCTGCGTCATACTTTAATGCGAGTAGACTGGTTTCCCGACGCTCACCTGCCATGTGTATGGCGAAGATTGACGTCGATTCTGACAGCGTCGTTATTCCGACGCCCTCCCAACGCCATTACGTATATCGTTAATTTTTAAATATGGTAAATATAACGCTCGGCGTCGATTTCACAACTCGACTTCTAATGGCATTCCAAGCAATGCCAATTTAATATGGCGTCAGTTGGGGGCGTCCCAGAGATAGGCGTCGCGACGCCCGGCGTCTATCTTGAATATTCGCATTCGGGACCTTCCAGATTGTCACCATTGTTAAATAAGGCGTCTACTGCCGTCGTCGGGAAGAAAGGCGTCGCGACGCCCGGCGTCGTTTTTCAAATTCACATTCCAACGGCATTCGAAGTGAATCTGCATTAATGTGGCGTCAGTGTAGTGCGTCCTGTTGATAGGCGTCGCGATGCTCGGCGTCGATCTTGGACATTTTTATTCAGGGCCTCCCAGAATTTCACCAATGCTGGATATGTCGTCAGTAGCAGTCGTCTCTACGATTGCCGTCACGGCGTCCGGCGTCGGTTTACCATCGTCTTCGCCAATGGCCTTCTGAAATTCCAATGTGGCGTATGGGCTTCTCTTGACTGTTTCGATTCTGGGCGTCGCGACGCTTGGCGTCGGATTAGCAGCATTCTTCCTGAGTCTTGTCAGAAGCTACTAATTTTAAATATAGACGTACTGAGCGACGTCCGCACGAATGGCGTCGCGACACCGGCCATCGTTTTCACATCGTCTTCTAATATAGAGTCCTGAAACTCTACTTTGCTAATGTACCGTTCCTTGTCCGCCTACGGCGGCTGTCGTCGCGATACTCAGCGTCGGTTTAGCCATTTTCGCTTCAAGGCCATGCTAAATGTGGCCTACTACGACGTAATGATCATGTTCCACATTCAAGCTATATGCCTCAAAATATCACACTACTTAATATGAACACGCGGACGCGTGTTATTTATAATGCTCATGATTATGCAACATCATGTTCATTCTGAAAAATTTTAATCTCCTTCCAGTTTTCCCGCATTGTGTAAATACACCGTCTAAGACTGACAAGAAATCTTTATGTTGTTACCTATTATGACTACTTCTCCACTGCCAGACTTTTCAATGTTACACACGGATATTTCCGTCAGTACTTACTCTGACAGTTGGACATGGCAGGCATCCTGAAGCCGAGGGACCCTGACAGCGGATCTGTCCTCTGGAGCGGGTCGAGCGGGTTGCCAAAGTGTCCTGACAGAAAGGGGCGCTGCCCAAACGCGAAGGCGTGAAACTGTTGCTGCTGCCCTAGAAGAGAGAGCACTACACACATCAGACTGAAACCTGCCCATAGATCAGGCATGTCAAAATCGCTGCCCTCAGACCGACTCAATTCTTGAACCGCACACGAAGCGAGGCCTCGAACGTCCCAATTTTAATGTATGTTACGCTTCAAATGCATGCCAAATAATTTCTTGCGCAACCCAATGATTTATATTTCAATTAAATTAAGCGAAAATGTGTTCAAATGAAATTCACATTTGTGTGCACTTGTGGAAAAATACACCATAATCTAAAGCTCGGAATTAGTAAAAGCAAGTGGTTATGATATTCCCCACCCACGTGATGGCCCCCGGATTAGTCAGTCTTCATTTTCAAACGACCCAGAATGGGCGCTGAGTTTGACATGCCTGTTGTAGATGAAATGTTATGACTACAGCACATGATAGCCAAATTCAACGGAGCCTATTACTGGACGTAAAACCACTTGGATAAATTTCAACAAACAATAACAATAATCTATTTCTTTTCTTAGTGCCTATCAGCATCAGAGCTTGTAACGGGTAGACCCTAAACAATTATATGCAAGACTAATAATTATACAGTACTAAACAGGAGCAAATTAAAACATAATAGTTTTAGTCCAATTATTAAAGTGCTTTAACAGCAACAATAATAATATTTTAACTACTTGTAATCACAGACGTGGTCTAGGATATAAAATATAATCAGGTTAGCAAGAAATTCTGACGGCTAGGCAGTGTAGGTTTTGAAATCATCAGTGTTAGTAGAATAAATCATCTCAGCGAACACAATTATAAAGACTAAATCAATTCTCCCTCATTTTACTGAGATTAGTACAAAGCAATTTTGTTCTAACTTAATATGAATGGATCGTAGAATTGCGACTGCATGTAGAAATAATAAATACCGTTCTGGTTGAATCTGCAGCTCAGACCTGATTTACCAGTCGTGTCAAGACGGTTCGCGCTGCCGCCATGTTTGTTTTCATTTTTCTAAACATTTCAATCGCCATTAAAATCTTAAGACACTACATTCAACAGCTCTGCGGTGGCTCCACCTTTAATCTTCACAGGACGGCAATGTCAATTTTATTGTTTAAAGAAATTTAAAAAGTACGCAAATGGAAAAGAACCCGGTGGCATGTTATCCATACCCAGCTTCACGAATAACGTTGTATGTTAGCTGATACATGCATTGACGTTTATACGAGAGACATGGAGTTCTTTAATATGGTTTCTTAATCCTTTCCAGGTTACGCTCGAGACATCTCGGTTGGAATTACTGAGAGTTCTAATCTGGATTTTTAAGGCGTTATAAAGTCACTGAAGTGAAGAAATTATTTACGATACGCGTAACGTAACAATCCTTGCACGTTCGCTTGATTCTGAACCTTTCACTTTTAACCAATGAAGTATAATTCAGTAATTTCAGCACCCAGGAACACTTTCTGGTGTTCCTGAGAAGTTCCGGCTATTTTTATCTAATTTTAACCAATATTGGTGTGTGTGTGTGTGTCAACAAATTTTAAGAGACGTCCTCAACATCAAATTTCATTAAAATCAGTTCAGCCGGTTTCCTTTTGTGTCATGCGTACAGACAGAAAGACAAGCGGAAGGACAAAGTGGTTTCAATAGGCCCTCCGCTGGAATATTAATTCACATGTACAGAGCCTCAAATACGCAGCAAATAGGAGAGAGGGCAAAAAGAATCAGTCCGGAGTTGCTGATAAAAAGAGAAACGGGTACCCTTATAGAATATAGAACCCTACCGACCACGTAACTTTTCTGACTTGGTTATCCTACTTATAGTAATATAAGAAGGTTTATTTGAATACAAACAAGCCTTCAAAAGATTAATAACACTAATATGGGTAATGGGTTTAGTGGACTTCTGCCTGTGAAGACTTCTTAAGCGGAAGATTCAGTCAGACATTTCAGTGAAAGACGCGGTTAGTGCTCAGGGGAGCAGGACACCTTGAAGGTGTGAAGCTCGGGTTACCTCAAGACAAGACAAGACAAGACATGCAAGCTGATGGATTACCCCGTTCTGGGGTCAGCAATCCTACATACCAGAGTGGTCTAGACGCGCGTTAATTAGGAACCCCTGATGCAAACCTCTGCTCTGTGTTCTGGCTTTGTGGCCTCCCGCTGAGTATGTATGGGTTCCAGAGTTTAAGTTCGTTTATTTCCGAAATAGTAGAGATTTGTGTTACTCTTAATTTATTACATGGTTATTCCCTGATTTCATGTAGTATATGTCATGACAAAGAATTTCATAATTTATGCTCTATTTAAGAAGGTATTTACATAAAAAAAGAAGGCAATGAGCGGGACATGTATAACACACTGGAACATGAAAACGTATGCAAAATTTTGGTAAAAATTTCTGAACAAAATTTTTCACTATGAAGAGCAAGGAGTGGATGAAATGATGCATTAATCTGGATAGTTGAAGGTAAAGTTAACCCTGGAATTGTTAAAAACGACGTGAACATGTGCGTGGGTGTGAAGATAAGCGCCCGGGAAATGTTGGGCACCTGAGCCGGTCAGGACGTGGTACCTGAGAGAAAAATAGGTGTCCCAGCAGAAATTCGAACCACGGTTGTCCAGTGTGCAGCCAAGACACTATTCTTACTGAGCTAAGTGGCTCGTAAATATTAATATTGAACACAGCAAAAGGTTGTATGTGGGAGCAGAGCAGTGATATTTGAGTTCCTCATAGCGGCGAAGCCATCGACTGTGGTCTTCTGGGTTGTGACGTCATGTAGTGTTGTGGGATCTTTCCGACGTTTCAGAGGAACGTATAGCCTTCATCCTCAAATCACCAACATTGAAGGAATGATTCTCCTAGACGTTGGTTACAACTTACAAGACTACATGTAGACATTACCTCACAAACTAAAATGGATCCAACCGGCTTAAGACAAGATCCAGTGTTGAGATGCTACGGATAAGATAATAAACTTCTTTTTCCGAGAAAAGTTGTCAATTTCTGTATTATCTTAGCAAGTGTAATTTTCAAGACAGCTGACAAAGCGACTTTAAATAAAAAATAACTATTCATCAATATAAGGAGCAAAGCATAACCTCTCTAGCGCATCATTACGTAATTATCTCGAATCATCTGTCATTCAGTTCTTCTTAAAACCAACACCAGACTTTATTTTCGAACACAGAGCGGTCTATCGGCGGTCTGTTCTCAACGCCTCCCCCCAATGAGCAGGCCTGCATATTTTCCCGTTTCACCAAGCTCCCCCCCCCTTCCAGTTGTGACATTTTTGTGAAAGTCGCGGGCGTGTTGTGGTGTGGGGTCACGATCCCAGGATTAGCTTGGGGAGGAAGTCGCGGGTGGCAGAGGTTCGGCGTCGTTCAGGAATGTCTTCTTCCGAAGACAATACTGCGACGAGGCGGCGAAGAGAGGAATTCTGCAGGGTCGATTAAAATCAGCTCCAACTTTGCGTGGGGCCTCAGAACTCTCTGGCATCCAGAATACTCAAATGCTATACCACAGGTCGTTAAAATATGGCCTGCGAAACAAATACGATGTTCGTCCACAAATATTATTGTCATACGTGGCATAGGGAAAGTGTAATAACAATAACAACAAATTACATTGAGGTACAGGCAAGGACCTGAGCCCACTACAGAGTGATTTGTATTTGTCACCAAAAGTGCGAATTGAAAATATAAAAGCCAATATCTAAGTAGTCTCTATTTTTAAATCAAAATTCGGTCATGTTCGATCATGCTGCTCTAAGCAAGCGTATTGGCCGATAAACCACTTGATGTAGAGTATTTTCAAAGCTATTAGTTACGTATATTCACGAAGATAAAATTATAAATGACTTCCTAAACTTTTAACATTTAAGTTATGTTACTGATTTAGGTTAAGGGCGATCTTTATTAGAATGCCTATAGATATATATGGCTTAAAAATGAGGTTTCTTCGATGGCTCTTAGCCAACTGTGTATTAAGAGCGTACGTCAGTCGAAAATCTGAACTTTGGCATGAACGAAGTCTGTTGAGATGTAAATCACGTACTATGTAGAAACTGCAAGCAAAAGGTTTCTGACGATTCTTCTCCTCTACCGGTTGCAACAAACACAATTGCGTTATCATTTTCAACATTATGCTCCATTAAAACGCGAACAATCATTAAACTGAAGAAAGAAACAGAGGAAAGATAGAACGCAGGAAACTCAGGTGGAAGGGAATGTGGATATAAATGAGTGAGACGAGACATAAGTGACAGGGCGAATGATACAAATAAATAACGGAACAAACACGGAAAAAGTTTAAAAAACGAAATGACGTAATGAGGGAAGAAAGAAAGAAGGAAAGAAAGAAGTTAAATGTGTATGCAAAGGAGGGAAAAAGTGTCTGTAAGAAGACGAATTACTGCGCCCGTTGCTATGGCAACCAGAAGCAACAATGAGCTGTTGTACTGATCAATGGATCTCATGAAGATCAACGTGTTGAGGTCCGCCTTCCATTGATTCTATGCCAATTGCACCGGCAGGAAGGGTCTCCCCAGCAACCGACTTGGGTTATACATCAACCCAACCTTCGCTCTCGCACCGACCTAAATAGCTATACCACGTCCCACCATTACATCAACAAAACGATACTGAGGGTAACTGCGATTATAATGAATACGTAGCCGCAGACAAACGACAATGGGGTGTGCCAGCGAATCTCGTCCTGAGTCACCTCAATCCAGTCCACGCCCTTATAACCTATTTATTTACGAACCATTTTAATATTATCCTCCCGTATGTCATTCATGTTTTTTGAAATTAACAAATTGTATGCGTTCCTCATATCCCCATTGCACTCTACATGTAATGCCCATTTAATCGTACTTAAATCTTATCAAGAGATACTTCCTTAAATTAGTCATTAACGAAAATTTATACAATTCCATAAAACCGAACAACAACAAAGGTCTATGATTTTGTATAGGGTCTACTTTAATCTTTACGCTTTCAGATATCAGAAGATAAGATAGGAGATTCTAA